CGAGGATTTGAGTTAACCTGACATTTTTCTTGTCTAAAAAAAACRAAGAGGTGTCGTGGAATCTGCAGGAGGAAGATCTGTCCCCAAAAATATCCTTGCATTCTAAAAGAGAAGGTTGGGGAGGGCAGGCGTGGAAAAACGAGCGATAAGCACTGCTGCGGGAGAACAAAAAGCCACTTGATTCTGAGCGAGAGAGGAGAAGAGGAGGAGGAGGAGAACCAGAGGGGATAARATTCATGCTGTGAGAATGAGAAGTCTGCCTCCGCTGCTCTGCAGACAGGTCCGCTCTGCGCAGACACACCATAAAACTGGTTCTCTTTGAAAAGAGTCCAATGACTGCGTTTTCTGGTTCCTGACATGTCCCCAGACTGCAGGGGAGGCAAGACTTTACTGTTCAGAGGYTCCAGTTGCCATAGCAAAAACTGGCCCTTCACAGTGGAGAATAACAGCCCCTTTATGCCCGCTTGTTACACTCCTGGTGACAGCAGGTTGGACAAACATCTAAAAACAAACAAACAAACAAACAAAAACAACTCTTGTTGCGGCACCGTCCTGATTCTCAGAGGAGGTGCAGTGAGGAACAGTTTAAACATTCCTTTTAGAAGAGGCTGCAATCRGAAACATCATTAAGCTGCACAAACCAAAGCTGCAAACCTCAACTGTGCACCTTTTTTTTACCCGCAATCCTCTTTCGCAGGATCACAGCCCTTGCAGAGCCCATTCTGAGCAGCACTTTGTTGATTAACATTGTGTAACTCTGTCGTTGGGTCTTTGTCTGAATTCTATAGGAATATGAGTCATTCATGGGCACCACAGTGAGCCTCATTGTCCTGACTCCTAAGCAGCCTTGTTACATGAATAAAAAAAATAGAAAAGAAAAGAAAAACCCACACACTTACACGCAGGCCATACAGAGAAAATGATTAGCCTAAGTCAAAAGGCTCTTGGGGGGGGRAAAGATGTACAACATCCAGGCCTCATCCAGCTGGATAAAAGCTCTGTGTGACAGACTGGTGTGCCGGAGAACAAGCCTTTCTGTGGTTAACAGCTTCTGACAGAAGCATGGAGGCATGGCGGACCATCAGAAGTCAGGACTGAGGGGAGGAAATGATGACATGTTGGGTTTTAAGAAATCACAACAGGACTAATTTATCAGACCTGCAGGCCAGAGAGGTGACTGCTAACRTCTCCATCAGAGTCTGAAAGTCATGAAAACTCATCCACTGGTTCATGAAAGATTTTCCTAACATTACACACACACACACGCACCCACACACACACACACGCAAAATCTGCATCATTGTTTATCTTTTGGCAACAGGCGAAAAAAACTCAAAACATATGAAGGTACTGTATAAATCTAAAATGCTTTCTTATTGGTTTTGGTAAACAGCAGAAATGTTCAAGAAGGCAGAATGAAGCTAAATCTAGATCAGGGAAGGGCAACTGGTGGCCCGCAGGCCACATCCAGCCCATGCGTGACTTCCGTCTGGCCCGCAAACTCTTGAAGCAGCTCTTAGAATCTACTTTAAGAGTGCTTTCTTTAGTTGAGTTTAGTTATACATATATTATATCTATATATTTTTTTGAGAGGTAGACTATCTGTTCACAAAATTTCATGTGTTTAGTTTGTTAGATACGCTGTCTGCCATGAAGGATTTTAATATAAGTCACAGCTACAACACATTGCACAAAGATAAATAGGAGAAGAGTTTACAGAAGTCACAAGTACATAAACAACAGTGACTTCTACCAGAACCACAACCACAAATGTGTCTGCACTCAAGGCATCTTGTGTTGTTGCACTTCAGATTGCTAAATTAAGTATTTATTTTTGCTTCAAACAACATTTATTAAACAAGAGTATAACTGTTACAGATGCATGAGTTACTGCACTGTATGTTGGTTTAATAAACATACAGTATATGGCAGTTTTAGTAGATTTGGGTAAGTTTGCGGTGYAAACATACAGAAAATTCACARTACGGCTTGGGTCAGTACTTAAGTATCACTGTTCAAACCTTTTATACACAAAATAGAGAAAACCTCATGCCCTAACTTGTAATTTATTGAAATTAGTTRTGAACATTTGTTTAAACTAAAAAGTAGTTTTTAAATTAAACGTTGCTGAAACAGCAAGTTTCTCAGTGGATCTGTGCTTGACAATGCAGCATGGGTGGAGTAGTCAAACACAGATCCACTGATCCTTCAACACAGAGCATCTTCAGAACACAAGTTGATAAAATAAATTTAAAAAATCTGTATTGTTTGATACAAGTGTGTATTGAACTTAAAGCACTGTATTGAACTATTCAATACAGATTGTAYTGTTGCAGCCCTTGAAAATGTGCAGCACCATGTGGCCCTCTGGTAGTGTGAACAAAAAATTGTGGGCTCCTCCATCAATTAAATTGCCCATTCCTGATCTAGATTAAGCTCCACTGCAACTAAAAGAATCCTTTTTATAAACTACATTTTCTGAAAACATCAGATTCTCCCCAGCTGACATCTGTAACATGATCTGGGTCAGGCTCTCCTGTCCTCTGAGAACTCGGCCTCTTTATTTATGTGCGTGTTTCTGCAGTGTAAGCACACGCAGTCCTCCATCTGCAGCTTGATAGAGACCGTTTCCTCTGCAGCCTGCCTTCCTGTGCCGCTCTGCTCCGGAGAGGAAGCGGGAGCGAGACAGACGCACACTCCTGACAAACACCCTGGATAAGATACAAGCAGAAACAGCTGGGCGGACAATGATTTCGCCGTGCTTTTTTATGAACGCAAACACARATAGCCTACTTCCTTTCTACTTCCTCACATTTTAAACCTGCTGCTCTTTTTTTTTTTTTTTACTATCCACACATTCTCCTTTGTCCTCGTTTCAGGGTCACAGGCCTCCACGTATCATTAAACAGCTCAGGGGAGACTACAAGGTTGTGTTTGCCCAGTAAGARAAGATTAAAGCAGGACTTTACAGTAAGTCTCATGTTTGGACAATCTACTCTGTTGCCAACATGTTCACTGTAATAAAAGGCCTTATAGATGGTCAGAATGTGCAGGAACAGGCAGAGGAGGTCACTTATCCAGAAAGATCAGGAGAAAAACATCTAACACAGATCTCATTTTAAAGAGTGCCCTTAAAATGTGCCCTAATGTTAAACAATGATCAGAGGTTTATAGTAACAAAGTACTTTTACTTTCTTACAATATTTAAGTAAATTTTTTGAGGATTTGTTATTTTACAAAGTATCTTTCCAAACTGTTACTTTTACTTTTTTACATTTAAAACCTAAAAATTATTTTTTTTTCTTTACTTCAAAATATAACACCTAGTTACTCGTTACAAATTAAATATGTCCAAACTCACCATGAAAAGTTTTTATGCACTCTAAAAGATGAAGTGTTGAATTTACTCAACCAAGTCATGTCAGCTAGTTCCACTTAGTTCCACTCAACCTAGTAAAGTAAATATAAATACACATATTTTCTTTTTGAGAAAATATAGAAAATACGGATATTGCTCCATTTACTCAACTTGGTTTAGTGGAACCAGTTTAGGTTAACCCCTTAACAGTTGCCCCCTGAGATTCCTTAAAAGCCTTTCAACATATTTTTTAGGGTGCCAAACTAAAAGTAAGAACTGGAGGAAGTTTGCTGACACCCAAGTCTTCAAAATAAAAGCCCCCCGGTAGCATCTGGAAAGGTTTAAAGGCAGAAACCGAACCATTATACCCCAACAGTGGAACAAAGACTGTTTAGGGGTTCAGTAAATTCTACAATTTATTTCTTAGCATGTGTGTAAAAGTACTTTTATTTTCCCAATTTTTTTGAACAGTTTTATGACTTTTACATAAGTAAAAAAAAGCAGCCACTGTTCAAAAGAATGTCCCAACACAGGCGAGCTACATCTAATGGCCAGAAC